TACCATCACGACTTGCCTGCGTGTAGTAAACAGATCGACCATTTTCTGTGCAGTTTCCTTGTTGTATTCTGGGTTGCTGCTGATCCATATCATGAGGAAGCTCATTGAGATCTGGAGGCAACTCATTGAGATCAAGCATTTTTTTCCCTTGTTTTTGGATGCTGCCACACACTCCCTGCACATATAAAAAAAGAAGAAATTGATGCCATCAGTTGGTAACACAGAAAAACTGTGTTTCAAAACAACCTAAAAGCAACATGACCATAGCATAATCTTTTATTATAACAGTTATGAATTTTTTTGTTTGCACAAAGTTGTTATGTTAGTTGCACAGTTTGCAGTAAATAACTGGCAAGAGCATGACTTCTTTTTGCTATAGAGTTTTTCTTACCCTTTTCCCTTTTTGTTTTGTTGCAATGATCTGTAGGTTTCCGTTTCGCAAGGAGCTCTTTTCAGATTTTTCTGCACATAATTGGATGCTACATTTGAGAAGGAAAATCCAGGTGAAAGAAGAAAGAAGAATTGGAGGACAGATTATAGTTATATGTTTTTCATCGCCGTTTATGTTTCTAGATCTGGTATATTTGAACATATTAATATGGTTTGCAATAGGTGTGGGACCAGAATATATGCGTGGGACAAGATTTGTGTGTGAATATGTTAATATGGTTTGTGGCTTCATTAGCCATGGACAAAAGTTCCTATGTTTTTCCTGTTGCACTACAGATTTCTGGTTTTCGCTAGAATAGACGTCTCAATTTTCAGGATTTCCACTTGGCCAGCATACATATTCAGTTGGACATTCAATGCTTTTAGTTGGCTAGAATAGATGTCTCAGCTGGCCAGGTTGCATTTTTTCAGTTTTGTGGCCAACATGCATGTTCAGTTGGACAGTTAATGCATTCAGTTGACTAGAATAGATGTCTTAGTCGCCTAGAATAGATGTCTTAGTTGGTCATCAGTTTTTGGCCAACATGCATGTTTAGTTGGCCAGAAAACATGTTTTTTTATTTTCACATATACTACATTTTTTTCCAAAGTGTTCACTCAGAAACATGTATTGCCAGATATATGTTTTTAGTTGGCAGGATACATGTTTAGTTGGCCAGGATACATGTTCAGTTGGCTGGGATGCATGTTTAGTTGCACATTTATGAATTTTTCGTTGCACATGTTCAACAAAGCATTGGGCAGTCAATTTTCTGTTCATTTTGCAAATAATAACTAGAAGTTGGCTTTTAATCATGTTTTAATTGGCCAGATAACTCGTTTTTAGTTGGCTTGTTTTTAACACATCCAGGTGGTAGTTTTTGGTATGTTTAACACATCCAGCATGTTTAACATCTGGTGTGATGTGCCAGATTCACCTCTTTTTTGAAGCAGATTCTCCATGGATCCATGGAGAAGGGGGAAGCGAAGAGGTGCAGAGGGGGCTTACCTGCTCGATCTTACTGCCTGGTATGGCTCTGACCACCCCGCCCTTTAGATCTTGAAGCAGCTCCTTCTACTTTGGGGCTCCCATGGCGGCTGTGTAGGAGGAGGAAGAAGGGCTGGGGGCGATTGCGTTTGGATCTGTTTCTGGCGTGCAGAAGAAGAAGAAGGCAGCGTCGGTGGGGCTGAGGCGTGGGGGCGAGAGATGGCGTGGATTCTGCAACATGGGCAGATCCCGCGGCCAGCTGGTGCACGTGATCCCGCGGCCAGGAGGGTGCACGTTTGGCGAGGAGGGTGCACGTGATCCCGCGGCCAGCTGGTGGGCGGGGCAGTTGCCTTTTTGGCTCCGACGGGCAGGGACCAGGTGGACTGTTTCCTCTTTTTCGCTCGAGGGGGGACCAGGTGGTTTCCTTTTTTCGGATGGCCGCTGGCTAGCGATCTTAGGGCGGCCGGCCGCCCACTAGACGCGTCCGAGAATAAATTGAGAGAGAGGGGGGTTATCCAAATGCCGTCTCCGCTCAAAAACATTGCCGCCCCGCTCACTCCAGTGCGGTACCTCAAAGTGGTTAATCCATTCACTCAGAGCTCCGATGCTCTCGCTCTCGGCTCCTTCCTCGCCCCCGCCCTCGCCACCTACCCGCAGCACCGCCGCCGTCGGCCTCCTTCGTGGGGCCGCGGGGCGGCGCGACGCGCCGCTCACCGCCGCGCTCCACGCCGTCCTCCTCAAGTCCGGCGCGCTCCACTCTTCCCAGCCCCTCGTCGCGTCCAACTCCCTCCTCCACGCCTACCTCCAATGCGGCCTCCACTCCCACGCGCTCCACCTGCTCGACGAAACGCCGCGCCGTGACGCCGCCACCTACTCCGCCCTCATCTCGCTCCACTGTCGCCTCGGCGCGCCCCTGGACGCCGTCCGCGCCTTCGTGGACATGCTGCTGGCCCACGACGCAGACGAGGGCGACGCCGCCGCCGTCCGCGCCAACGAGTTCACGGTGGCCGCGCTCCTGCAGGCCTGCGGGCTCGCCAAGGATGGGAGGCTGGGGAGGATGGTGCATGGCTACCTCGTGACAAATGGCTTCTGCGCCGACCCCTTTGTGGTCGGCTCGTTGGTCAATATGTACGCCAAGGTTGGGGATGTGGTCAGCGCGCGGAGGCTGGTTCTCAGATTGGCTTGCAGGGATGTCGTTTCCTGGACTGCTGTTATATCAGGGTGCGTGCTCAACGGGATGCTAGCAGAGGCTCTCGGTGTGTTTGTCATGATGCTGGAAGATGGTGTCCTTCCCAACAATGTTACAATGCTGAGTGTCATTCAGGCATGCTCTTTGATGGGCCACTCGGGATTGTTCAGTCAGGTGCACACTCTTGTTGCTCGGTTGGGCCTCGAGGAAGATGTTTCGGTGGTGAATTCTCTCATCATGATGTATGCAAAGAATGGCTTTATTGAAGAGGCTGCACGGCTTTACGAGGATCTGTACCTCAGGAGAGGGACTGTGTGCTCTAATGCTGATGTTCTTGGCGCGCTTCTTTATGGTTGCACGGTTTCAGCATCCCCGCTTTATGGGAGAGAAATCCATGCACACTTGATTAAACTGAGTGCTCTTCCAAGCATCAGCATTGAAAACTGCCTCATGGGCATGTATGCTAGATTCGAGCGAGTTGACGCAACGTATTTGGTGTTTAAAGGCATGAAAGTTAAAGATATTGTTTCGTGGAACACCATGATCTCATGCCTAGCCAAGAGCGACTATGTAAATGAAGCCTTGGACCTTTTCAGCACTCTTCATAGTGGTGGTAGTGGGCTTGTGCCTGATTTTGTCACGGTCTTGAGTGTAGTTCAGGCATGCTCCAATGCTGGATTACTTCTCCAAGGGCAGATGCTCCATGCATACATCGTAAAATATGGTTTTGTGCACGATGTATCGATCTCCAATGCTCTAATAATCATGTATGCAAAGTTAGGAAGGATTGATTCCGCTGAGAAGATCTTTTGGCGGATGGATGTTAAGGACCTTGTTTCCTGGAATTCGATGATCAATGCTTATGGGATACACGGAGATGGCCATTCGGCTCTAAAGTATTTCCACCAGCTGACAGATGTTGGAGCACATGCTCCTAATGCTATCACGTTTTTGAATGTGATATCTGCTTGCAGTCACTCTGGTTTGATTTCAGAAGGATACAAGTGCTTTGAAAGCATGAGAAGGGACCATGGAATTGAGCCTGGCATGGATCATTATGCTTGTGTAGTGGACCTGTTTGGAAGGTCTGGGAGATTTGCCGAGGCAGAAGAATTCATCAGGGATATGCCTGTTCCTCCCAACTCGTCCATTTGGGGACCTTTGCTGGCTGGTTGCCGGCTTCATGGGAATGTTGATCTTGCAGAAAAGGCTGCTAAAGAACTACTAGCCTTGGAACCTGACAGTGATATCTGGAGAGTCTCCTTGTCAAATATCTACGCATCGGCTGGGAGGTGGAAAGACTCTGCAAAGATTAGGACTGAAATGAGGAGAGTCGGTTTGAGAAAGGAGACTGGTTGGAGCTTTGTAGATGTAGGAGGGGTTGAGGGTTTTAAGTTTGTGTCGGCAGATACAAGGCATCGTGACGCTGAAAAAATATATGCAGTATGGCACAGTATGAACAAGCACATGGCAGATGTAGCTGGTGACGTGCATCAGCTGAGTCTGGTGAGTGTAAATTAGTTGATGACAAATGCTTGGTTTCGTTATGCCAGAGTTACAAAGGTGAACTTTTGTAATTCACTAGACTGTGAACTTACTGACTTGAAATCACACCAGATCTATTAATTTGTGTTCTGGGTGTAGTATAAAGCCATCAGTAAAACTGGCAACTACATATAATTGACTCTGGAAGGAAACTGAGGACGCTGTGGTTAGCATGTTAACTTAAAACTATGTTTCGTGATCTTGGTGTAGTCATCTAAATTGCCTGCGTTGTAAAGGTAATAGTCCTCACGATCCAACATTGCAATATGCCAGCAGAAATGGAGGAAAATCTTGCTGATATGGAGTTCTTATGCTAATATGGTTGCTGAAAGCAGCAAGGATTGGCAATACGAAATATAGGTTGCCCAATTTCTGCAGGGTTCAAATTTTAGCACGTATGCTGCTGTATGCTGGTGAAGATTGTGTGTGCCCATGTGCTATGTAGTATACTTCCAATATCTTAATGATACGGATTTATTAAAAAAAACTATAGTGTATATCCATATATTATTAGGTTTACATTCATTATTTTTGTTATAAATTTGTTGCAAAAATTGGACTGCATACCCATGTGTTTTGAATAGTGACCCTTCATTTTAAGTTAAGACAAATGATCACATGTAAAAAGCTCATACTAGTATATTGCTGTATAATTTGTGAATGGTCCTTAAGGTCCGGAAGAAAACAATAAGAACTTCCAAAATTATTGCTACCTAGTATACCCTGCAAGACAAGAATACAATTTTGGAACAATAAAAGGAGAAACAAGCTGGATACACATTTTTCTTCTTGTACAGTAACACTACAATACAATACAATTCCTGTATTATGTAGTATACTTCTAATGCTCTACTTGCGCATCAGGAGAACTACGGTATGAGCAGCTATACTCCTGTTTTCTCCTAGACTGTCGACTTTCTCATGCGTCTTGGCCTTGAGATTGACAACAGATGGATCCGCCCCGAGTAGTTCACACAAGTTAGATCGGATAGTCTCCTTGAATGGGCTAATTTTTGGTTTTTGCAAGATCAATGTAGCATCAAGGTTCCCCAGCTCATAGCCTGCTTGATGCATTAGCTTTACCTGATGCATAACAATAATAAAATGTTAAGCAGATACGTGCTCACTTAAATTGCATCAACCTAGCACCAAACGATACTTCCATCAGCTCATATCTTCAAAACTGGAATGCTTCGATGATATTGTATCACACAAAATTCAGATTCAGGGGCGAATATAATAATCAATAATGCTCTAATTGGATATATTCTACACCCTCTGTTCCTAAATATAAGACGTTTTGGCAGTTCAATTTAAACTGCCAAACTGCCAAAACGTCTTACATCTAGAAACAGAGGTACTAGTGTCAAAAACGCTCTTATATTATGGGACGGAGGGAGTAGTACATAACATTGGGTGAAATGACAAAAAATACTGTGCGATGTCAATGTGAAGAGAAAACAAGGTGATTTCACTGATCGATGGGATCATGAAGAAAAAGCAGCACAAAATTCAGATTCCGGTGTGAATATAGGAACCAATAATGCTCCAATTGGATAAATTGTACATTACATCTGGTGAAATGACAAAAATACTGCTCGATGCCTAAACGAAGAGAAACTACTAGGATGATTTCAATGGTCGATGGGATCATGTAGAAAAAGCAGCACATAATGAGCTCAAATTGCAAGGCATAGGGATATTTTATCCAAAAGTCCAGGATGCAGTCAACATTCAAAGCACATGGTACATGCCTTTGTACAAATTCCAAAACGTGCAATACTTTTTGTCCTGGAAGAGGAGAAAAGTCAAGACCGAATTTGCAGTCAGCATGGTGTTGATGCAGGAATGAAATAGTCAAAAAGAAAATAAGCAGGTGATGATCTGCGATGTCTTCAAGGAAGGATGTTTTTGGAGAATTTCCATAAAACGGATGCATTTTAGTAAGGGGAAGAAAAACTTGTTTCCCCAAAGAAGATATGAACAAGTTGGGTCACGTAACACTTAACAGTCTAGACATCAGACTTACCTATCGCTCATTCAAGTAAAATGAAAACTAATTTTCCGACACAAGTGCTATGTGATTAGCAATTTAGAATCATTCAGAGCAACACACAAACTCTAGGTTTTGTTCTGATTAAGCATTCTACCATCCAACTATAAGACAACAATCTAGACTCATAGAACGAAAGCAACACACGAACTGTAAATTTTGTTCTGAATAAGTCAATAAGCATTTCACCATCCAACTACAGACAGTACTACTCCCTCCGTTCCAAATTACTCGTCGCAGAAATGGATGTATCTGAACTAAAATACATCTAGACACATCCATACCTGCGACAAGTAATTCGAAACGGAGGGAGTATCTTATAATGCCCACAAAAGCTAGAGGGAATTGGCATGGGCGAATGAACTTCGGAGTGAAGTTGAGAAACTCACAGCTTCCCTCATGAACACGCAGGACTCCGCGCCCTTCCACCGGGGGTCGGTGTCCGGGAAGATCTGCCCGATGTCCGGCAGCCCCAGGGCGCCGAGAATCGCGTCCACCACGCAGTGCAGAAGCACGTCCCCTGCGCACGCGGCAAAAAATTCCACACGCCCGGTAACGCAACGAGCGAACGAACGGGAGCACAAAGGAAAAGAACAAGCAACGGTAGTAGTAGTAAAAACGGCGCGCACCGTCGGAGTGGGCGTCGCAGCCGCGGTCGTGGGGGATGCTGATGCCGCCGATGATGAGCGGGAGGCCCGGCTCGAGGCGGTGGAGGTCGAAGCCGTGGCCCACGCGGAACGGTAGGGCCGGCGGCTTCGGCGCCGCGGCCACGGCCACGGCCGGCTGGTGCTCCGCCTGGAGCGCGGCCGCCACCGCCAGGGACGGCCGCCGGGGGCGCAGGGATGGCCGGGCGGGGCAAGGGGAGGCGGGTGCGCGGGTCCTTGGCGCGGTGGAGATGGGGGAGGCCAGGAAGAGGGAGGAGGCGGAGGCCATGTCGTCGCGCTCCGACGGGCGAGATAGCGCAGCGGCCGAGTAGAGTTTCGGGGGTTCCGTTTCTCTTGGCCGTGGAATGCGAGAAAAGGCAGCGGTTTTTTGTGCGCCGGAATTACTTTGGCATTGGGGAGACGGGAATCTTGGCGTTGGAGATGCGGTTCATGGTGGCGTGGACGAGGTTTAACGTCTAAGTACTGCGGCCGGCGGTCGCTGTCTCGCCGGTCACCGGTGGCTGCCTTTGCCTAGAATTTGTCATTCGGCGAACATTTTGGTCTAGATTGGATGTTGCATAAAATACGAAATTCAAGCTTAAATGTCATTCGGCTTACATCCATTGAGAGGAATGGAAGGGTTTTCAATTCGATTTTCATTAAAAGTTGCCATAAAAGCAAATGCAAAAAAGCAATTCCCATGTAACGAACTAAATATTTGAGGGGATAAACAATGCAAACTCTTTTCTTACGAATCATTAATATTTCCTAAAAGAAATCAATGTATGAAGTTTCTACAATTCTAATTATGTAGTTCTAAAAAAGTTTCTACAATTCTAATTCTATTATTCTAAAGCACACATCATGAAAGATAGGCCAATTAACTAATATAAGAATGAGAAAATGAGGGTAACCTAGACCTTTATCCGTGCCTCATTGATGCCTTGCACAGCCGGCCGACCATGCGTCTGCGCAACGGCGCAACCTGTGGATCACCCCTTCAGCATTTCTGTTCTTCGACAAATGATCCATGCACTTGATTGGGTGTACTCTAGACAATTCCGGGATGAAAAACTGCCCTAGGAAATGGTGGAGGCGGCTTTATATGAAATAAGCAATGATATGATGTGTACAGTCTAGTGGATGGCTAAATACTAATCAACGGGTTCAAATGCATGCCATGCTTTCTATGCTAGCTGAGGTGGTATTGAATCGGTCCGATGATAGGCCTTTTTGGATGAAAAATAAGAATGAAAATTTCACTCTTAAAACCTTGTATGAGAAATTGTCTGATGTGGGACCAGACAGATCCTTTAAGCATGTGCGAGCATCCAACTGCAATCCAGAATCTAGATTTGGATCTAGTTAATTTGGAATAATGCCATTGTGACCAAAGATAACACGGTTCAGTGGAATTGGACAGGTGACCCTACTTGCCATTCTGTTCTTAAGCCGAGAGCATTCATCATCTCTTTTTTCGATGCTCTGCAACCAAGTATGTCAGGGAAATTTTTCTATAAATGTGTTGGGGCCACCAACACACGTTGGTGTTTCACCCAATATTTTGGGTGGATATCTGAGCTCATTTCTGGTAGTGGAAATGTGCAAATAGTGGGGCTTGGAAATACGTGGCCTTGTGGAAACTTTGCAATAGAGGTTGCTTTGATAAGAAACTTGCGATACCTTCAACTAAATTTGTGTGTTATGCTTGCTCCTTTATGTAATACTGGGTAGGTATGCAGAGCGATGGAGATCAGGCTATGTTGGAACACGGTGTTGCGACTCTTTGGAGGGAAGCCCTGGCTCATCGTAAGGTGGTTTAGTGGGTTGTCGGTGTCAAAACTGGCAGATCTCGGGTAGGGGGTCCCGAACTGTGCGTCTAGGCCGGATGGTAACAAGAGGCAAGAGACACGAAGTTTTACCCAGGTTCGGGCCCTCTTGATGAAGGTAAAACCCTACGTCCTGCTTGATTAATATTGATGATATGGGTAGTACAAGAGTAGATCTACCACGAGATCGGAGAGGCTAAACCCTAGAAGCTAGCCTATGGTATGATTGTTGTTCTGTATGTTGTCCTACGGACTAAAACCCTCCGGTTTATATAGACACCGGAGAGGGTTAGGGTTACACAAAGTCGGTTACAATGGTAGGAGATCTACATATCCGTATCGCCAAGCTTGCCTTCCACGCCAAGGAAAGTCCCTTCCGGACACGGGACAAAGTCTTCAATCTTGTATCTTCATAGTCCAGTAGTCCGGCTGAAGGTATAGTCCGGCCATCCGGACACCCCCTAATCCAGGACTCCCTCAGTAGCCCCTGAACCAGGCTTCAATGACGACGAGTCCGACGCGCAGATTGTCTTCGGCATTGCAAGGCGGGTTCCTCCTCCAAGTACTTCATAAAAGATTTTGAACACAAAGATAGTGTCCGGCTCTGCAAAATAAGTTTTCACATATTGCCATAGAGAGAATAATATTTACACAAATCTAATCTGCTGACGTATTCTGTAGTGTGACATCGCACCACGGCCAAGCCTTTATTCGTTTTATTGTCCCACCTCAGCATGTCATGCGAGGCGGTTTCCTTGGCACGTCTCGTCGAAGCAGAGATCGTGTCCCCTTATTCCGGGATTCTCATCAATACGGGCGTGGGTAACCCAACCGCGCCATTGACTACGGCGCTTGGGGATAAGCGAGTTTTACCAGGCTGGTGGGAACACGTAGTTGCGTCCACCCATATAAGGGGATAAGGATCCACCTTTTCACCTACGCCTTCTTCCTCCTTTGCCTATCCATTCTCGCGCACTCGAGCTCCAGCGCCCAAGTCCGCACTCCCCACCTCAACCTTCTCCAGCCATGTCCAGAGCGGGAGGCAAGTGGATGGTCTCCTCCGTCACGGAGGGACACATCAAAAAACTAAGGAAGGCCGATACTTGTCTAACGACATCGCGTACCGGCTTCTCGAAGAGGGGCAGCTCCTTCCCACCCCAAGGCCCCATGAGAGGGTAGTGTTCCTTCCCCACTTCCTCCGTGGACTGGGCTTTCCTATCCACCCATTCGTCAGGGGACTCATGTTCTACTACGGCCTGGATTTCCATGATCTGGCCCCGAACTTCATCCTCAACATCTCGGCGTTTATCGTCGTGTGCGAGGCTTTCCTCTGCATCCGCCCCCATTTCGGCCTATGGCTCAAGACTTTCAATGTCAAGCCGAAGGTGGTGCGTGGCAACCAGGCGGAGTGCGGAGGCGCCATGGTGGGCAAGATGCCCAACATCTTATGGCTCGAGGGCTCCTTTGTGGAGACCCTGAAGGGGTGGCAATCGGAGTGGTTTTACATCACCGAGCCGCGCGACCCTGAGTGGGTCGCAACCCCTGAGTTCCGGTCTGGACCCCCAA